AAACGTAACGCTTTGAAAACGATAATAAACAAGCATCTGACATACGATAAAATTTTTCAAAAGCAGTAAGGTAACACTAAGAATAACACTTACAAAGAAAATAGCACTTAGTATCTTTACATAATCACATGTTTTTTAGCGGATCGAATTCAGCACACTGTGCACATGTAATTATAGGGCGCAGCCATATTGCGTATAAAGTAGCTCCGGTTCAATGGAGGTTTACATGATACAGTCGAGGTTAGATGAGGTACGAATCGGCCGAGGTGTGCCGAGTGGCGTCTCTGTATGAGTGAGAAATTCTCGAGAGGGACGTTAAACAATATACAAACAAACAATCAAATCGATATGATCCCGATCGAGTTTCTAGAAAACAGTAATTGAAATATACGAGAAAATTGGTATTGAATTTTGTTTTTAATTTGCTTCAGGTGCAAAGACTAAATAGAAATTTGTCCATACTTTACATTTATTGTGATGTTCGCCAGCTTAATGCGCCTGCAGAAATCATCGACATAATCACGTATATGTATGTATATAAATATGTCATCTCCCGTTAATTTTAAGGTAAAGAACGTATTCTTCGTACAGATTTACGCTGAATATCTTCAATTTATCATAATAAATCAAATCGGCATTCAAGTTTCAGACGCTTTATAAAGTCTCTCTAATAGCAATTTCAAGTTATAGGTAAGGACTCACATATAACAATCAAAACACCTGAATTTATCATTAACATTTTGTCAATAATATTAGGGTTATGACACCTTCCCCGTATTATCCTCTCACCTTCACAGTGACGGGATGACATACTGTTATGGCGTCATTTCTAATAAAGAGAAGATACAACAGATTGTGCACTAAAAGGTTTAAGGTATGTCACTCGTCACGATTTTGAACACTCTGTGCATCTGGAACTGCCAAGTTACGGAATGCCTGTCGTATTTCAAAGTTAAATGATTAGATGAAATTTTCTTTGCAGATTTGACGAAATATTCATTTAAGAATTAAAAATCTTCTATGTCTTTGTTTTTATTGCGTTATAATAGATGTTAGAAGGTTCTGAGAAATCGCCTTGCAATATTACGACATTAAACTCATTTGCGGTATGTTCCCATGAGAGAGATAAACAGAGATGGGAAAGCTAAACAAACGGAGAGGTATTGGCTTTAAAAGCAAGAAACAAGAAGAAAAATTTGATAAAGTTTTACATCGTTTACAAAGTCGCTGGTCGACATTTTCTATTAAAGCTGAACATGATTATGTTAAACGAGAGCACAATTACGATATTCGGGAGTCCCGGCCTTCCCTCTCGGACATCGCAGACGACATCATCATAGACGAAGCAGAGCCGCGGACTGATTTAGAATGGATGAGAGGCAGGCGTGTCGTGGAGTTAGGTGTTATTGCAGAGGGGCTTCGGGCGTGTCATAACTGCGGTACCCCACTGCATCTTTCCCACTGCACCGGTATCATCACATATGGACTTGGGGCTATCTTGAAAGGTACAGCTGTAGTGAAAGTATGGTCATTTAAAATAATTCCAACAAAATTTTACATTTTTTTAGTCATTACAGAGTTTTTTCATTAAAAAGCTCAACATAATATTAATACCATACATGTATCATATATAAAGAGAGATTAATTCAGAGAACGTGGTTAGGTGGATCCAGTTATATTTGATGTAACAACTTACTCTGTCATACCTATGGTTATATACACAGATACGTAACACAGTACACCCTATAACTCTGACCAAATGGGTTAACTTACAAGAAGAAGAAGAAGAAAAAAAAAATTCAGAAAACTTCAAATTCACTTTCATCATAAATCAGTACATGTATCTGTGAGATTCATGCATTCATATTTAGGAATATGGTGCTAATAATAATAACTTAATTTTTAATCATTAGTAAACACAGTTTAAGTTGGAAATGGAAAAAAAATATTAGTTTTATATAACATGTACATGTATGTAGAATACCAAATAAATGTAGTCAATTTGAACAATTAATAAGGTTCTGCTAAAAAAGGTATATAACTGAGATCACATCTGTCAATTATTGAATACCTGTGCTCATATAAATCTCACACTTCAATGATTTAAACCATAAAAAAAATTATCACATCAATCATTGCATAAATCTCCAGGTCTATTAAGATTTATATATGGTTATAAATTTTGTAGTGCCATGTAGCAATACCAATTGCCACCACATTAATAAGATACCAACTGGAAAGAAACATGACAAGGTTTGGGATGCAAACACAAAGTTAGCTACTGGTAAGATTGTGTTAATTAGATACTACATCTATTTTATATGATTATTTTCTTTTAAACAGCCCTTATCACATTATTTCACCACACTACCTGTAAATATGATATGCTGTATAGGTTAATAAGCTAGTTTGTTTATCAGTGGCAGTACATATATACTGAAATAATTTAAGTTTTGCCTCCACATTGAACTGTGGGAATTAACCTGATATTGCATTTGCATGATGACAAACAGACATCTTCCCATCATCTTTGTGAATCACAGAAATTAAAACTTAGATCAAAGGTCATACTTTATGCTTTTGACTTTTGTCCACTTATCAATCCTTGACTGTGTCAACTTTCTTTTTATTTTTTTAGTCGCAATGAATCAGAATATAAAATAAATTCCAAATTCTAATGTTTGAACTTTGACATATTGCAGCAATGGTGCACACAGGAATGAGTGCAACCCAGGTCAACAATTTTTTAGCCTGTGTCAATATCCCACCTGTCAGCAACCGCCTCTTGAATGAGAGAATGAAGGAAGCAGCCCGTACGAAAGTTCGAGGCGGAATAGGCACGGCTTGGGCACGGCTAAGGCACGGAACCCGCACGGGTTTTTAAAAAGTCGTACGGGTTCTGCATGTCCAAGACACGGACACGGATTCTGAGTCTGAAAGTGAGGAATCCTCGCTCACAGAAACCCGTGTGGAGGCACGGAATCCGTGTCCCAGAGAGACGGTTTTTAACTCAAGCGGGTTTTGCTTCAAACTGTTCATTTATATCTCACGGCTTTTTACTGAGCATGCTCAATCATAACTTCCTTTATTTGAATATTAAATTGGAGGGATTCATGGTCATGAGCTAAGAATGTGTCTTTTTTACTCTAGTTAAAGGATATTTAACTAATAGATGTCAGTTGGAATTGTATTTATGTCAGTCTGGAATGATTTCATCACTTTTGAACTAAATGCAGTAAGTGTAATATAGAATAAATAAGTCATTTTCAATTTTCATGAAATTTCTGTATTGCAATGTTGACAATGAACCTGATGAGTCTTTGTTTATTTGAATGACTTTAGTTGGACTTTCACTAATTAATCCCTAGACATTTTATGTGTCATTTATGATTACTATGTTACAGAAAGTTTTATTTAAATTAAATTCTTTCTCAGATTGTGCAAACTTAGATTAGATAAAATTACAATTGAATTGTACACTATCATTAAATTCTTAATTAAAAGCTAGCATGGATTGTCACTGATAAAGTAAATTTTTAACACTTAACAGAAAGTAAATGGACACATTCATATAAGATTTTTAACTTTTAAAATTCTAAAACTAAGCATAAAAATAATGTAAAGCATTGTGAAGTTTTGGTTTCAGTCACCATTTTGGCATCTACAGTTGCATCAGGAGATTCTCTAAAGGCCCTGACCTAGATCTAAACAAATGCACAGATCCCGTGACTCCATATATGGTATGTCACACGGCTTTTTTTGACACGGGTTTCCAAAAATCCGTGTCTCCATATATGGAAAAGGACACGGGTTTTAGACACGGGTTTACAGAATCCGTGAGTCCATATATGGAAACAAGCACGGCTTTCTGACACGGGTTTTGTAAAACCATGTGATCTAATTTAAATAATTCGGCCAATATCCCGTGCCGTGTCCGTGCCTCGACCACTTTTAGGCACGGCTTTCCATACATATTTTACATAGGAGCAGGAATGCTAAAAGCACGGGTTTCTGGAAACGGAATCCGTGCCTGAGCCGTGTCTAAGCCGCCCGGACTGTTTCGTACGGGAGGACAGACTATTGAGGAAATTGCAGAAGAATCTATGACAGACTCTCGGCTACAAGAGACACTCCTCACTCAGAAGTATGCTTGAGTAAATCATCTGATAAAAAATAAATTTTCATTGTCAAAAATTTTTAGGAATAATTGATTAGTTATGCATTGAACCAGTGTATGCCTTGGTAGAATTATACTATCAATCAACTTCACAACAGGTATTCCTTAGAGATAAACTGCATGATCATTTACCCCAGGATTAGAGTATCATTTTAAATTAACAACTTATTTAGGAAGTGATGCTCATATACATGTAGAAGGTTGTATATATACATACAACTACAAGTACAATTGTACTTGTGGATATTTATATATATGGCCAAATGAAGAAGGGAGGGCATATTGCTTTGCTGCTGTCTGTTGGTCGGTCTGTCTGTCTGTCATTCCACCAACAGTTTTCCTTCATTTTCTTCGCAGAGGTTGCTGCACATACTGAAATGAAATTTGGTATACAGATTTATCATAAGAATATCTAGGTTAAGTTCTGTTTTGGGTACGGTACAATCTAGCAATTTTTGACAGAGTTATGCCCCTTGGACTTAGAAAAATTCCAATTATTTGCAGTTTCCATTCATTATCTCTGCAAAGGTTGAACAAATTAATTATTGATATATCATGAGAAACATGTTTTTGCAAAAGATGTGATTTAGAAGACTATTTCTGGTTGATGCATCTCTGATGTAGATGACCCCTATTGTAAGTTCAAAAGGTCAATTTCATTTCCATGTACACTGCCCATAATGTATACTGCCCATAATAAAGGCTTGTGCACCCTATAATGTATGTACAAGGGGGAGGGCATTAGTGTTTCACAAACATCTCTTGTTATAAATATATTCTTATTTCAGGAATCATGGCACAGAAGCTATAACTGCAAGTGTTGATGCAGGATGGCAAAAAAGAGGCAGTGGCCGTTCATATGATAGTTTGTCAGGTAATGATGATAATTTATTTTCAGTCATAACTCAAGTGTGTAATTTAGTAAACCACATGATATACAGCATGATAGACAAGAGGCCCAAGGGCCTTAATGGTCACCTGAGTATAATACAACAATTTAGAGGATCCATAGAGTTAAAATATGAACTGAAAGGTGAAGCTTTGTTGCCCAAAGCAAGAAAAATAGGGTGATCAGGATCAACAAAATAATTAGTCTAGTGTTCATTAACAGTTCATAAATTAGGTTCTAATATGTTCCCCATTTATCACTATCACCATACAGTATATTAACAAACTATCAGTGCTTCTGTACTATTAATTAATTCCTTGTTGAAATCTCTTACATTGGACTCTCTGGGTCTTTGATGAACATTGAATAAGACAACTTATTTTTGTCTCACTTTTATTTAGCTATTACTTACAATTACTTGCAAGTCTACCTGATCATTAAAACTATGAAAGTACATTTTGTATTATATGATAAAAAAATCTTGCATAATTCTCTTATTCTATTAACCTTTCAAGTACATTATTTACAGTGACTAATTATCAAAAGTAAATGGCAAAGGGGAATAACTCCTCTCAGTAGAATACAAATTAATAGATTCACTACATTAGGCCAGGTAAAATTAATCTTTAGATTCTCATCCCCGCCCGCCCCTCTCAAAATGCCCCGCCCCGTTGTTTTTTATTTTGCTTTTTGGGTGTCAAACGTATTATTTTCATGTATTTTTATTCAGCAAGAATCTGGGTCAAAATTTAAGAGTTATCTCCCGTCTGTATTAAAAGTCGCGTGGCTCTATTTATAGCAAAAAAAACTATGTGAAGAATGGAGAAAAATTGGCAATAAAAGCAGTTTAAATATGTAAGGAAAAGATAATTTGTCAGTATAGAGAAGGCAGAAAAGCAAAAATAACATAAATATATCTTAGATACCATCACTGGCATGAGCAAGTTTTTAAAGAGATTTTAACCAAGTAAAAACAGACGAAGAAAATGACACATGGTCAAGTTTTAAATAACGATCTCCAGTTGTATGCGATTTTGCATTAAAAAAAAATAATTATAATAAAACATCGTCCAAAGACTTTAGAGAATAATAGTGCTAAGGAACCTGTTCAGGCCTAGGCTTTTCAGTAGAATATTTTACACAATCCTGTTTTTCAAATATGATATATTTTAATGTCTAACTTCTCAAGTCTCAAGAACAATTGAATGCATGAGGACAGTGGAAATCTATGATATATCACACAGAACAGAAGGAGTTGTTGGTAAAACTATAAGGTATTTGGGGAAAGGCCGACCAGAAGACATGCATATGCAATTTTTTAGGATTAGCACCTCATTTTGTTTGGCGTTTGCCGTATCTGTGTATACTTGATAATTTGTTAATAAAACTATAAATATTTTAATTTTCTATAACAAGAATCTTATGTAGATATTTAAAAGAATATGAAATCAATAAAATCTATTCATATTGGCATTAACATAATATAAAAATTATGTGTACGAATGTTTTGTTGATACTTTCAATTATAAAAAATAAAATCCACCCACCCGCCCCAGTTTTTTTAGCAAATTAGGATGAGAATCTAAATTTTAAATTTATGTGGCCTTATCAATAGAGCCCCCCCCCCCCTCCCGAGAAACACCAGAGCCTCTCACCCTGAGACCAGAAATTTGCTCATCATACATGTAAGTAATCACTTTGTTAAATATCTGATTAACATTAAGGAGCAGACAGGATTATTTAACAGAATTAATGCATTTTCACTATATTATCAAGAGCCCCACCCTTACACCAGCATATCTGACCCAGGGGTCATGCAATTCACTACTCTGGAAGAAGCAATCATGCTCATCATAACTATACACTTAGCTTCTTTGCTTCTTAACCAGAAGCAGAAAAGAATATTTTCAAAGAAATTTTGCTTTTTTCACTATATAATCAATAGACCCCCCCCTTTTCACCAGATAGTTTGTCAGGAAATGATGATAATTTATTTTCACCAGAACCCATGACCCTGGGGCCATGAAATTCACAATTTTGGAAGAGGCAATCTTGCTCATCATAACTATGTACTTAGTTACTTTATTTAATACCCAGGAGCAGAGAAGAAGATTTTCAAAGAATTAATGCATTTTCACTATATAATCAATAGAGCCCCCCCCCCCCCCCCCCACCCCCCAACACCAGAACCTCTGACCCTGGGGCCATGAAATTCATAAACTTGGTAGATGCACTCTTGCTCATCATAACTATGTACTTAGTTACTTTATTTCATACCCAGCAGCAGAGAGGAATAATGCACTTTCACTATATGATCTATATAGCCCTGCCCTAGCACCAGAACCCCTGACCCTGGGGCCATGAATTTCATAATTTTGGTAGAGGGCTCAATGTTTATTACAATCATGCCAACAGTTTGACTGCTTGATGTCCAGGAGTAAAGAAGAAGATTTTTAAAGATTGCATTAATTTTGGTGGTTTTAGCCCCACCCCTCAGGCCCCAGGGGGGCAGGGACCATGAAATTCACAATTTCTGTTCCCCTTCACCAATAGATGCTTTCTGCTAAATTTGGTTGAAATTGGTCAATCGGTTTTAGAGAAGAAGCTTAAAATTTTCAAATGTTAACGCACGACGCACGACGACAGATGAAAACGGATAGGAATAGGTCACCTGAGTCACTCAGGTGACCTAAAAATAGAAATTATAAAAGATTAGTTGTCCATATTATAGGCCATTGTTCCATGATTGGTGCAGAAACAGGTAGAGTTATAAATTATGCAGTCAGATCAAAATCCTGTGTGCGAAAATGCAGCAAAGTCAAATTCCACACCAGTAGCTCATGACTGCAGAAGAAATTATGATGGAAGTGCCAAGAGTATGGAGTCAGATATGGTAGTATCAATGGTTAAAGACATGAAAGAGAAAGGAATCAAAACAGCCACAATAGTTGCAGATGATGATTCTACCACAATGTGTCGTCTGCGAGCAGAGTCAGGAGACATTTCCAAAGAATCAGACAGAAATCATATTAGAAAAAATTTTTCATCTGCTCTAGATTCTTTGCAAAGAGAACACAAGGCTCTATCAACTAAAGTAATTAAATATATCTCAAAATGCTTTAATTATGCCATATCACAGAACAAGGGAAACCCAGATGGCCTTGATAAAGCTTTAGGAGCAATTACAAACCATGCCTTTGGAGCCCAAGTCAGAGTGAACTGCTTATTTAAGCAGTTTATAAACAGTTATTAGGCAGTCTGGAGGTTTTTGGGCAGTTTTTAAGCAGTTTCTAACAGTCTTAGTCTTAGCATTCCTTAAAACTGCTAACAGACTGGTTATGAAACTGCTAAGAATTTGTGTTAGCAGTTCAGTATTGAACAAACCTAAACAGTCAAACAAGCAGTTTCTCAAAACTGCTAAAAGTGCAACTAATTCATTTCAATTTCTCACAAGAGGAAATACAATACTTTGTCACTCTTGGTGGTCCGAGCTTTCTCTAACCTTCATTACAAATGCCCATGTGTTACTGTTAATGCATCACAAATAATTGGGGGCCAGGCAGGAATTTCTTATACAGAAAATAAAATTAGAAAAAAACAAAGATATATTTAAAATCTTACTAGAAATGATACAGTAGTTTATAATAAATTGAGGCTACATATTAAAAAATGGCATGCACACATGAGCTTCTAATCTTTATCCCATCAGCTTGCAAATGCAGTCCTCTTGTTACATTAACAACCTGCTGTGTCCCCCACGGTTGCTTGAAACTTATCCAATGAGGTGAGCCAGTCAAGATTTGTGCGCTCTTTCCAGACCAGTTCAAAATTTCAGTACAAATTGTTTGTGAGGATATGAAATTATATAGATTTTACAGTAAAGAAGTGAAATAATTGCTTTGGGAAATACATATCTGTCATCAGCATATTGGATTGGATGTGAACATTAATTAGTAACAAATGTATCTGAAGTCCATGAGATGGGAAATATTAAAGATCAATTTAATATGACCATGCAGCAACAATGAAAAAGGGTGCTAGGAAAATTTTAAAGATTTGCTGGCACTAAAGTATGCTGAGAAAAGTGTAAGTGGGCTTGTGATATAATATATTATATCCCCTCTCTCATTTCAGATTACGAATTATAAAACATATAATTTGTTTGTATTTTAATTATTAGTACTTAATTTAGATATAAACATGGTAAATGCAGTATGTTATCAGTAATTACAGTATACATATGTACATGAATTCATTTACATCATTAGATAAATAAATAAAATAAATGTTAATTATAATTCTGAATATAGGATCAAACATTCCTCAATATATTGCAAACTCTCTTCAACAAGACTAACAGATTCTTTTTACGAACTATATAGTCAGTTATATTAGGTCAAATTGTAAAGCTAAATGCAGTAATTTATAATTCTTTCAAGATGAGTGCTTATATTGATATATATGATCTTTTTATTGACTGGCACTTCATACATGTAAGCATGCAACTGAACCATGAAAACTATTATAATTAAATATATATTCAAAATTTTTGCAGATAAAAGTTAATTGCTGATTGGGGATCTGCAGATTAGTCCCCTATATTGACCAAGCTCTAAAGTTGGCACTTGTTTATAAGAAATGCAAGAAAATAAACTTCATGAAAGGACTTATTTACAATTTATACCTGTATGATAATTGTATGTCATAATTGAGTGGAAAATGAAATCCTTAAAAAATGATGTTTATTCATCTGCACAATGTTTAATACATGTACTAAGCTAAATTCCCATCTGTAATGTTATTTTTATGAATAAATCACCCTGGAAGCATAAATTTTATGCATTTTCATATTCATATATGGGTGGAGTTATCTCCTTATAAGTAGACAAGAAAACTGCTTATAGCAGTTTCTTACCAGTTTTTAAGCAGTTCATATATTTTCATACTTATATGTAGGTGGAGTCATTTCCATATAAGTATAGCAAAGGAAACTGCCTATAGTAGTTGCTTAGCAGTTTTTAAGCTGTTCACCTTAACCTTCCTATTGACTGCTAAGATACCGCCAAGGAAACTGCTTAGCAACTGCTAAGATACTGCTAATGAACTGCTTAGCAACTGCTTAAATGGTGGACTGCTAATAAAAACTGTCTAATGACTAGCATGCAAAAACCTTCAGCCAACAACAGAGGAGAAGGCTAGTAAACTGTCTAAAAACTGCTAAAGCATTGAACTGTGAAGGTTAAAAAACTGCCAAAGAACTGCCTTCCACTTTGACTTGGGGAGACCATGACAATTGCAATGAAAGCTGGTGTGTTTTTATATCAAACCCTGACAGCAGATACAAGTCTCTTCCATTTGGAAGACCACTTACATGTGGTTCCCTTAAACTTGCTTTGGAACAGCTCTTTGGCATCTACAGGAAACAGTCAAAAAAGTTGGCTTTCCTTGGTAGTACCCAGGGAAATGAGGCATTTAATAAAATAGTCTCTTCAAAAGCTCCTAAGTCCCTGCATTTATCAGGATCTGCTAATCTGAACTACCGGGTTGCTTCCTCAGTTGCACAAAAAAATCAGGGCCATGAATATCTTTTGAGAGTAAGATGCATGAAAAAGTAATATTGTCCTTATGCATGTTTTTCTTTTAAATTAATTAAGTTTACATTAATTATTAGGTTTATTTGATGATTTCAGGCTGTACTGAATTGAGGGTTTTTATGAGCTGTAATACTTCTGATCAAGATTTGTATGTTTTCTGTCGAATCTTAGTATCATGTGTCTGTTGTGTACCTTGAGGCCAGAGCACTCAGAGAGAGAGGATAACTTTTTCCCTTCAAATAAAATGTCATTTTCCATTACAAGATTACTCAGATAATTTGTTAAAATTTAGATCTAAATTAAAGATTTTTCTTTGACATTTGAAGGTATTTGCATGTCATGTCCTCTTGACTCCAGAAAGTTGTATATATTAAAAAGGACATCTAATTTAAATGTGGGCTACACTCTATGAAATGAATAGCAAAGTGTATGTGAAGTTTCACATTAAATGTACAATTGTATGCATTTTGTTTATTATTTTCTTATTATGTTGGAGTTCTGTGATGATTTTGATTTGGGTTTTAAGTTAAAATAGCTTTAAAATCAAATAGTAATGATAATGATATGCAAGTGCATTTATATAATTACTTGAATGAATACATATGATGATTTTTCATTTTTCAGGTTCATGAAAAAATAGGCTTATCACCTGGTAAATTCACAAGATGCAGATTGATAATCAACGATATCATAAAAGCAAAGAATAAAGCCATAGCAAGGACCAGAGAGGCAAGGAAAAGAAGACTGAAGCTGAAGCTAGAACGGTATGTTTTCTTCTTACTGTGAAATATGAAATTCATTGGCATTTTTAAACATCAGTTTTAATACCCCCCCCCCCCCCCTCAAAAAAATTTTGAATTTGAGGCCATCTTTAAAAAAATTTTTGGTCGCCCTCTCCCGAATGACTGGCTAAAAATGGCCCGACTCAAAACTTTTTTTAACCTCCAGGAAGCAATTATTTTTTTTATGTATTTTGGACAATAAATTAAAAAAAAATAGCATTGAAATTGAAATTTTTTGAGAAAAAAAAATTTCTTACCTACCCACTGACCTAATTTTTTTCATCCTGAGTTGGGAGAGGGCAAGCAAACATTATTTTAATAAAGGTGGCCTCACTGAAAAAAGTTGTTGAATACATGTATATTGGAAATGTGCTGAATACACATTAGGGGAAAGAAGTCATCTTCAGCAGAACTGAGGGAAGGGACTACATACCAGCCTGGTATTGACCTTAGTGAATCAGATGCTGTAGATGTGGAAGCCATTCCTCCCCCCTGTTATCCCCCTGTGGAGAAACCGCCATTGGCTAAAGGAGCTTATGTGTATTTTGATCTTGAAGCAACTGGCCTGGGTAAGTGAATTATTGCTTGAATAATTAGCGATGTATTATCATTGGGATTAAGGCCAATTTTGTTACATTTGTTTTAAAAGATAACCCACCTTGAATGTCATTCTAAGGTTATTTCTTTTCTGATCACCTGTTGTCTGTCCATCTGTCTGTTTTATTTTTTTTTCAATATTCATTATTTTTAAGCTGACACCTGAATTATAAGCTGAAGTAGGTTTTTCTGGTAACTTGTTGTCTTGTGTCTGTCTGTCCTCTATTAAACATTTTCAACTTTTCCAGAACTAGTTGGCAAATTTTATCCTAACATGACACGGGGCATATCCTAGGATGAAGAGATGTCAAATTTGTTCAAACCATGCAAACTTTCAAATTATGAACCCTGTAATTAGGGTGTGCTTAAAGGGGGGAGGGGATTTTACATAACAATTGTTTACTAGAGAAATGTAATCTTTCAAAATATTTCCTGGAATAGTGAAAACATGCCACTGTCATATTAATTTTGAAGTATCCCCATGTTGTGTATTTCAATGAAGTCATGACCCTTTTCAGCCAAAATATTTTTATAAGAATAAAGAAGACAGGGAAAATATTTGAAAAATCTTCTAAAGAACATTTGGGCCAAGGTCACTCAAGTGATTGTTTTAGCATATGGGTTATTGTTGATTCTAATTATTTTTTTATTCACCAGAGCATTTTGTAAGGATTCATTAACTAGTTTTATGTTGTGGCTACTGGTTGAAGTACATAATTTGACTTGGCATTTAAGCAAGCATTTTTTGTACTACAATCCTTTGCCACTTGTTAAATCATCAAATGTCATCATCATCTTCATTCCATCCATGTCCATTAGCTTCACCAACCATGTCCATGTAATTATCATCAACTTCATCAAATCATCTGTTTAGACTAGAAAGCACTGTGAATTTTGCAGAATCAGCAGTTCATGTATCCTTCATGCACGTCATAAATAACCTGATAAAAATGTTATTTTGTTAGACAAAATTTGATGGTAACTATTGATACTACATGTACAGTAAATATGCTTATAACGAAGTGACAGATAGACCAACAATTTGGAGTTGTTATGAACTTATACATCCACTAAGTTTATCATATGTTTTAAAAGTACATGGAATGAAAATCACTTCGTTATAAGTGTGAATTCATTATAGCTTTGTGGCCTCTATGGGCCTCTTTTCTTGTGCATAAGGAAAGAAGCATGTTTATTTGCAAATGTATCATTCATTTTCAGAAAGAGATTCCCACATAACACAGATAGCTGCTCTTGATGAAGAAAGTGATGAATGTTTCTGCAGTTATATCATTCCAAAGAAACCCATAAGTTTCCAAGCTTCAAGGGTAACTGGACTAAGGATTAAGGAAAACACAATGTACCATAATGGTATGCCCGTTCCAGCAGAATCCATTCATGAAGTTCTCAGAGGTTTTATTTCTTTTCTTGATAACTTACCATCAGATCAGCAGAAGATTCTTGTAGGCCACAACATAAAATCATATGATTGTCTCGTGCTGATGCATGCCCTGAGGAGCTGTGGAATGGTGGATGACTTTCACCAACAAGTGATTGGATACATGGAGACCAGAAAACTTTTCCGCCTATCATTTCCTAGTCAAAAATCATTCTCGCAAATTAATCTAAGCAGGGCTCTTCTTGGTGAAAACTTTACATATGCTGCACATGATGCGATGGAAGATGTTAGAACTTTGAAAAAACTAGTCCTTTTGCCTTCTGTGTCCTCAAGTGATAAAGAACTCTGTGAGTTTTCCACAACTTATATAACTGAATCTATAAATCATAACACACGAGTAAAAGCAAACCTACCCACTTTACAAGTTCTCATAAATCAGAAGGTTCTGACAGCTGCAATGGCGAGAAAAATTGCAGGGAGCAATTTGACTTTTCATCACTTAGAGGTAGTTTTCAGAAGGAATGGCCAAGAGGGTCTGTTAACACTTCTTTCAGAAACTGTATCAGGAAGAGTTAGAGTGTCAAAATCCAAGAAACTGATTACTTCTCTTTGTGACTACTTTTCAAAGTAAATGTGTTATTTTGCCCATAGAATGGGTTATGAGTGTGCAGCAAACTTGAACAGTCTCTAGGGTCAGAGTTCAAAGTCAGCATATTTCTGTGAAATCCTTATTTTGAACAAATTTTCCCCTTTAGATCCTACCTGCTTCAATATTCAAGGATAATCGGTATACAGAGAATTTGAACCATATTTCTAGGTTAGAAGTCAAGTTCTTAAAAGATCTCTGTACGAAATTTTTGTTGAGAGCATATTTTTTTCTTCTGTTCGCCCTACATTGTATGTGGTTCCCACTTCACCAAAAAAGTACCCATGGAAAAAGTTATGTCCAAGCAGATCATAGTACATAGACCAGATAAAAAAAATATGCACATATGAAAACTAAACTGCCTGTACAAGATCATTGTCTGGGACATATATTGTGTTGAATTACTTTGTTACAGAACTGAATGTAGTTCACTTGTTGCTTGTATTTTGTTGAAATACCCACAGTAAAATATGGATAGTGAGAGAATGCATATGAAGAATTCACCCCTATAGCAAAGGGATTTCATCAATAGTTATAGAATGTATTATGAACTCACTAGATATAACAAACATTTATAGTTAGAGGTCAAATTTGTTTTCGTTCCTTGCTTATATTTTCCTGTAGCATGTTTTACTGCATCTTGCTGTGTAATTGTATAAATATTGTTTTGTGAGTTGCCCAAAATGGTATAGCATGACATCATTGGGTCACTGAATAAAATATTTGATATCATCATCAATTCCTTATGATTAATTCTCCTGATTGAAATATAAAGCAAAGGGCAGGATAGAAGATTTTTAAATGATTACTGGTAATCATGGCAACAAACATTGTAAACTTGGGAATCCAATATTCCTGGTTATGTTATAAAATGATTCATTCTGTATTTGAAATACCCAGTATATTAAAAAAAACACGTACAATTACAATTGGACTCTGTTTGTAGTCACAAGTACATGTACACTGGAATAATAGCATTTTTGATGACCTTTGACCTCAATTATCTCTCTTAGATGATCAATGACCTATATTTTTTTTTATTGATTAGAGGAGGATATATTTTAAAATCAGAATGATTTGTTTCACTTAAATTTCTTAAAATTTGATTGTCAGATATATTTATTATGCTAGTATTTTGGGGTATTTTCCTCACACAAGTATATAATTACATGTAATTTTTAGTTACAAAGATAACTGTTATTGTTATGGCAACAATTTATATTTACCCCAGAATAGTTCAGATGCAATCATTTCCAGGTCTTGTTTTACAGTGATTCATATTTGAAATATCCAGTTTATTCCAAAAAAGTTACAAATGGACTTTGTTTATAGACGCAAGCACACTGGAATAATAGCCTTTTAGGTGACCTTTGACCTCATTTATCTCTCTTAGATGATCACTGACCTATATTTTTTTTTCTTTTGTGTTGAGCAGATGTTCTAACATCAGATTTGTCTCTCTTAAAATTCTTGATATTCCAATGCAATATATTTTTTCAATTAATATCAATGCTAGTATTTTGGGGTATTTACCACATGTACATGTATATAATTACATGTTATTTCTAGGTTACCAAGATAACTGTTATTGGTAACCATGACAACAATATTTTTTTTTAACTCAGAATAAATGAGAGACATTCAATTTCTGGTCATGTTATTCGGTGATTCATATTTGAAATACCCAATAAATTCCAAAATTACAGTCACAAATGGACTTTGTTTCACTGGAATAATAGCATTTTAGGTGACCTTTGACCTCATTTACCTCTCTTAGATGAACACTGACCTATATTTTTTTCTTTTGTGTTGAGCAGAGGAGGAAATGTTCTAACATCAGATTTGTCTCTCTTAAAATTCTTGATATTCGAATGCAATATATTTTTCAATTAATTTCATGCTAGTATTTTGGGGTGTTTGCCATATGTACACGTATATAATTACGTGTTATTTTTAGGTTACCAATATAGCTGTTATTGGTAACCATGACAACAATTATTTTTTATTTATCTTAGAATAATTGAGAGACATTCAATTTCTGGTCATGTTATTCGGTGATTCATATTTGAAATACCCAATAAATTCCAAAATTACAGTTACAAATGGACTTTGTTTATAGTCGCAATTACACAGGAATAATAGCATTTTAGGTGACCTTTGACCTCATTTATCTCTCTTAGATGATCACTGACCTATATTTTTTTTCTTTTGTTTTGAGCAGAGGAGGAAATGTTCTAACGTCAGCTTTGTCTCTCTTAAAATTCTTGATATTCGAATTCTAGATTTTTCAAACCTAAATAATGCTTAGTTTTTGGCTATTTAAGGCAGGTTTTTTCGAAATTTTAAGGTAGGTCATCACTGGTAACCATGGCAACGGAGCATTTTAAATACAGAATTTTAATGAGCACATCACCACTTTATGTTTTGCTATATCCGTTAACTTTGACTGCATTTCTCTTTTAAAATAATGCAAAACATTCAAATCTGGCTATTTTTAGTAACAAAAATGACATTTTTTCAGTCCTCCCCCTTCTGAGGGCCCCAGCTTAAAATTATGATCACTGACCTATATATTTTTTTTAAAATTTGCATAAGTATATGTTATAGAATGTTAAAAACAACATTTCATAAAATCCTTGATATAAGAAATTTGAGGAGTAACATACCTTAAAAGTGTATTCATATCCTAGGCGCAAGGGACCACATAAATAAATCAAGCGGGAGTGAAGCAAACACGGACTTTCAAAAACATCAGAGGTGGGATGAGGGGTCAAGGAGGAGTTAGCATCCCCTATTGATCGGTCAAACTCGCTTATATCGGGCAAACAAAAACATGCTTAGAAAATTTAGTATGTAAAAATAGCCTAACAATTATATGCATGTAGAATGAAAAACTTAAGTCAGCATTCGACTTAATGATAGAAAGTATTTGCTGACAACATTATTGTATCGACCATAGAACTTGCAAAATGTTGACTTTAAGGATACATAACACAAACAAAAATTTCATGCCTGGATTGATATAAATTTTTGGACTGATTTTGAATAGAAATAACATATATAATAAATCCCTTGAATATAAAGAAATCGAAAGTTTTCTTTGGTGCTTTAATATGCGACTTTGTTTTGTTTTCTATATAATTCTATACAAAATGTTGCACATATTTTTAACATTGCGACAAAATCTTTACAAAGTTCTCTCACTTTACCTGGTTACTAATTTGAATATATGTCTATGAGAAATATTGCTGATATCTGAAAAAAAAGTTTGTATTATTTATCCTTACACGAGACTATTGAAATCCTTGTTTCATCAACTTGTTTGTTGATAGCTACCCTCGTTTTAGAAATTATTCATAGGTAGAGGATGCTCTTGCGTAGCTAATAAACTGGGAGACGTAAACTCCATATGCAGGTGATAAGGGTATACTGCTACACTAATGTAATAATTTGACAAAAGAAAAACTCACGTCATCACGTTTATCATAAAGTTAGATTTTGTTAGATTACCATTACCGTCTTTTTCTAGTAAAATTTTATCATGAAACAGATATGTCAGACTCTGTGTTTTCTTTTATTTCGAGTTTACTGGGATATATCGAGTCGTATGGAATAGAAGTAACCATTGTTAATTGATATATCTAAATGTCGAGTTGAAGGCCACAGAATGTGTCTTCGTCTTCTTATGTATAAGTTTTTGAATAAAATCTGCTTTGGGTGAATAACAATATAGGTCTGCTAATAACGGGATGTAGTTTAACCATGAAATTTCCGAAAGATTGTTGGAAGACTTGATCTCCAAAAGCTTCATCGATATTGACAATCGGAAACTCAAGCATCTGTTTAATATCAACATCGGAGTACAGTGTACTTGTTTTTACAATCAGAATCTTTTTGAACAAAAGAATTTGAAAATATCAAATGACAAGGTAAGTTTATTTTCAAGTTCCATTTTTCTTGAAAAAGTAGGTTGTCTATGATGTAAAAATGCCTGGACGCGGCTAGGATAAGGCCAAAGAATGTCACAGTGTACCAGCAGCAGTAACTTCTCTGAACTACCTAGATATGACGTCATAATGGCATATGAGGTCAAGTCACTGCAAATTTGAGCAGATATGACGGGAAAAGTGTCATAACTTTTACATTCCTTTCACACCACATGTAGAATTGTTTTACGTTGATGTTTAATTCATGTGTCTGGATTGTTGTTTTAAGGCTGTTATGATGGTGAATATTTGCAGTATAATATCGTTCTTCCTTTTTCTTGTCTAACATGTACGTATTCATACAATTACAAAAAAAATGTGAAACGCCCCCACCCCTTACACGTCTGTAGACAGAGTGAGAATTTATAAATCGTGTATATATTAGACTGGCACAAGTGAATAATAAGGATTAATTGATGATATTCTGTGTGAATCTACTAGAGAAATATGTCCTTTAACTGAATTGTGCTGGGGGATTGTATGTAATTTATCCCATTTTGTATAAATTGCGATGAAGAGTGGAAAATGACCCCTTGTATGTGGGTTAGTTGAATTTCTCGTGAAATATTTTCTTTAGAAATAAAATTCAGACTTGCCCCCAGCACTTTATATATACCCAAGAATACGTTTAATTGATTTATGTAACAAGCCGTTCACAATAATTTTGTTTTTCACTTGTGCCGATGCGATTTTTGTGCAACATTTAAGAAAATTTATAAGTGTCTGTCACGTGATCAACGCAGTCATGTGACATCACAGAAATGCTTTTTTATAATACCTTATTCAACTCTCTTTACAACTTAACTGTGTATGTATACATTGATTACAAATTGAAATTAAAACATAGCTCAAAATGAAATAGTATATATCTAATGCATATTAAGCCTTCGGACAGCCTTAACATAGCTGCGGACATTAATTTATTGAAGGAACTGCTTGTATAAGGTGTGGAAAAGCGTACGTTTTTATATTTTTGGTGAAACTTAGTCAAATTTTCTT